CAGCTAGCAAAGTGAAAACTTCCTAGCATTCAAACTGTAGGAGGAGTTGTGTGGAATAACTATATACCCATAATGGGATGGACGGAAAGACGGACGGACAGGGGTAAAACAATATGACTCCCAACTTTTAGTTGCGGGGGCATAAAAAAAACATACAAGACTTACAAAGGCCAGAGGCTCCTGACTTGAGATAGGTCACGGCAAAACTGCGGCGGAGTAAAGCATGTTTTGTAAGATCTCAACCCTCCTCCATACATCTAGACAATGTAGAATAACAAATACACAGCAATACGCACAGAAAAACTCAGTTTAAAAGAAGTCCGAGTCCGATGTTAGCTATAGAATAGGCAACAGAAGAAACTAAGCAAAATGACAAGCATTGGATACATAAATTAACAAAGGACTACAGCAGTTACTGACATGCCAGCTCCAGACCTCAATTAAACTGATTGAAAGATTATGTCTTCATCATATGAAAATCAAGCACAATCCCTCCCGTTAGGGGTTTAGTACCATACCATCATAAAATATATGAGAAGAATATAACCCGTACCATGCCAACAAATGGTTTTAGAATACATGTGTTTATTTCCGATGCAAAGACCCTATGAGTGAATCAATATTAATTTTAAAAAATGCCATCTTTAATGACCTGACAGTATCGTAACTATACCCCTTCTGAATAAGTCTTGGTTAGCTTTTGAGGTGAATGACGACATTTTTGTGCTTTGTATAGAATATTACCATAAAAATGTTGGATTTATATTTATGAATGATGTCCTTGTACCGATGATAAAATCTAGTAAATGTTTTGACAAGTTTGTGATATCGAAAACCCTGGTTTAATGATTTTTCAGTAATACATACATGTAATTTAATTATTGTGTAATAGCATCAAATCAAATTTGTTATATAATTATTTACAGGAACAAATTAAATCGAATTGTCGATCAATTTGACATCGGTTTCCAGTGAAAACTTCAACAGTTTACGAAAAATCGTCACTGATTTGTAAATCCTTGAAAACAATAATATATGTACAGTAACTAATATTTGTTTTGTTATATTTTTCATTTGAATTTTCCGACAAATTTTTTTAACTTAATTTTATAGTTTGTATCGGAAGTTGTTTGTGTTGTTGGTTATAACGACGAATTGTATATTTAAAAGGAATGGAAACGCGGCTCGAGATCAATCGGGACTCCCGCGGAGCGTTTCGGTCGGAAGTATTATAAATAATATAAAGAATCATAAAGGAGGTCCATTTCCTGTTATATTTATCGGTCATCTAAATTCAAAGGGTCATCGCGCTTCCTTGAGAAGATATACAGGGGGATGAAAAACAAGACAAGTAGAAACAACTCTTCCGTGTAAAAGGGACTACCTTGGGCATCATTTTAATGCCTTTTCGACCTATGTTTGCAATAAACTTTTAATAAAAAGTCATATCAAAATAGACCTCGTATGTCAAATTTGCGAGAGTTTCATCCGCGGATTACAAAATGAAAAAATACCATGTTTTGATTTTTTTCTAAAGGCTCGACAACCATGAAAGGCAAAAAAAAAAACAGTTGATATCATTATGAAGCTGAAACCTTAATCTAGAACTTAGACTCTGTTTTATGTTTCTGGTATAATTTCTGAATTTTCTACGATTTTCCAAAATTTCAGTTTGGCATTTCATTATTCTGTCAAAACGTGTATTTCAAGCTGGCAGTGTAGTACAAATTTCAAAATGTTGAAAAGTAGAAAAGAACAAAGTGTTAGAATGAGATATCATTTTAAAGAAGGAATATTTATCTACAATTTGGTGTTAATTACGAATTTAAATTGTTATTGGTATATTGTAAATGATTTTTCTTTCGAAATATGTTGAAAATTTTAAGGAGTGCATACAAAAATACACCCACACGCTATATTCTGGTAGAGGTTAACTAACAACTTGAACTAGACATGTAAATGAAATAACACTTCAAAAGCTTAACCTTTGGTCTACAACATCGTCTTGGTTTGATGAAAATGGTAATAAAAATGAATTTTCTATGATGTTTTTAAATATACAATTCCTTGGTTATTTGTTCTGGATCGACGAAAGGCACGACAAGCCATCTCATGAAAAAAGATTTATGATATATTCTGTCCAGCTTCCGTCTAAAACGTATAACCTATTCTAAGATAGCCTTTCTCTGGTGCCTTTTTGTTCGTCGATTTTTTGTTTGCTTCTCTGTCACTATCGTGATAAATCTAAAGTCAGTAATTACGTTTTTTCACTCCACTTTCACTTTTTTATTGAACGAAATGCTGGTGTCCCAATTTAATTTAATTCATTCCGGCTTATATGTATCCTGCAATGTTTTTACAGCTATATCCGAAGTGAGAAAGGTCTCATGCATTTTTAGTGGTCGTGTACAATGACAAAACTGAAAGGCGAAATGGTCTCTACCTTTCGGCATGCATGTATAGAACAAACAAACAAAAGAAACCAAAATAATTAAAACAGCCTGTCAATAAAATAGTTACATTTAAAAGGGGCCGCTGTTCAACACAATTACTTGAAAAAATAATACTTGCACATAGGGTTCATTTTGTAAAAAAAAATGTTCAAGTTTTGCAACTTCACCGAAACGTTGGGATCTTGCATGCAAATGTCGTATTCTGAAAAATATCATTTCAGAAATCTATAGTTGACTTGCTGAATTATCGAAAAGTCACTAAGTGAAAACCTTTCTCAGTAAGACAACAAAATTTCGCATTTGCCGTAAATGAAGGATTTGGCCGCACAATTACTACCTGTTGAAACAATGCCCATAATGTTGAAAATTCCTCAGAAGTTACATGTGAAAATAATATTGTCAAAAAGGGGCGGATTTAAATATCATGCCCGATTATAAAAAATGTATTCAAACTTACATCCACTTTATTTGAACTTTGGTGGATACTAGTAGTTGTCTCATCGGCAATCATACCTCATCTTATTTAACCACGATTTACCTTTCAGTGTTGTGAATAACGAAGGATAACTCAAAAACAATATAGTGAACATGGCTAAAATCATGTAGGATAATCATGAGGAGCCAGAACCGGTTTACTATATTTCGGCTGCAGGCACGGTTTCAAAAGGGTCACAATGGCACACTCCCCTATCTAAACAAAAAAATCTCCACCAAAACACACACCAGATTCCACAATAATTAACAAAGTCAATGAGTGAAAAATAATCCTCCGATGATTATAATAGTCGAACTTACTGAATACAGTCCATCAGACTATGAGGCGGACATTGTGGGAACAGTACTTAAATTAAAGTCTGTTGTATGTTACATCAGCGTTTGACGGAAAACACGTATCCCCATCTTGGAGTTTGTCGTATATGCTTGTTGCTGTATGGTTGCAGTAATATCGACGTGTTTGTGATATATATGCTCCCTTTTCTGTTATATGATTTTTTTTCTTTATGACATAATATTATATCATCATTTTGTCAATTCATCATATCTCCAATTAACTAAGAGTATGGTTGTGACTTATTTTATTTTAAGTAAAGTCAATACCTTTTTATTGCCAATCTCATTCTTAGTTGTCCTCGCAGTCAGTCATGTCGTTTTTCTAAAATGTTGTGATTGCACGATATTTTGATGGACAGATTCCTTTTCACTCAACGAATGATAAAGTTTGTAAGAAATCACCAGTCCTTTGACAATGCTATGTCATAATGTATAACAGCAAACGCTCACTTGATAGTTTGTCTATGTCCTATAAATGAATGGAAATGTGGATAATAAGATAGTGAGACAGCAGCCCAGTGACACAGACAAATTGAAAGACATTGAGACTTCATCCATGGTTCTCTAGAATAAACGGGGTCTTTTATATACATCGTTTAAAACGCGCCATGTAAAAAATAAGTAAAAGTAAATTCATCAGAGACAATTAAACACAAAATTAATAAAAAGAAAAAAAAACATGAAGATATCAAAAAGAGGCGGAAGTTACCAAAGGGTGGTTAAAGGAAGGATACCAAAGGGTGGTTAAAGGGGGATACAAACGGGAGGTTAAAGGGGGATACAAACGGGAGGTTAAAAGAAGGATACCAAAGGGTGGTTAAAGGGGGATACAAACGGGAGGTTAAAGGAAGGATACCAAAGGGTGGTTAAAGGGTGATACAAACGGGAGGTTAAAGGAAGGTACCAAAGGGTGGTTAAAGGAAGGAAACCAAAGGGAGGTTAAAGGGGGGATACAAAAGGGAGGTTAAGGGAAGGATACCAAAGGGAGGTAAAAGGGGGATACAAAAGGGAGGTTAAAGGAAGGATACAAAAGGGAGGTTAAAGGAAGGATAACAAAGGGAGGTTAAAGGAAGGATACCAAAGGGAGGTTCAAGGGGGGATACAAAAGGGAGGTTAAAGGGGGGATACAAAAGGGAGGTAAAAGGAAGGATACCAAAGGGAGGTTAAAGGAAGGATACCAAAGGGAGGTTAAAGGAAGGATACAAAAGGGAGGTTAAAGGAAGGATACCAAAGGGAGGTTAAAGGAAGGATACCAAAGGGTTGTTTAAGGGGGATACAAACGGGAGGTTAAAGGAAGGATTCAAAAGGGAGGTTAAAGGAAGGATACCAAAGGGAGGTTAAAGGAAGGATACAAAAGGGAGGTTAAAGGGGGGATACAAAAGGGAGGTTAAAGGAAGAATACCAAAGGGAGGTTAAAGGAAGGATACCAAAGGGAGGTTAAAGGAAGGATACCAAAGGGGGTTAAAGGAAGGATACCAAAGGGAGGTTAAAGGGGGATACAAAAGGGAGGTTAAAGGGGGGATACAAAAGGGAGGTTAAAGGAAGGATACCAAAGGGAGGTTAAAGGAAGGATACCAAAGGGAGGTTAAAGGGGGGATACAAAAGGGAGGTTAAAGGAAGGATACCAAAGGGAGGTTAAAGGAAGGATACCAAAGGGAGGTTTAAGGAAGGATACCAAAGGGAGGTTAAAGGGGGGATACAAAAGGGAGGTTAAAGGAAGGATACCAAACGGAGGTTAAAGGAAGGATACCAAAGGGAGGTTAAAAGAAGGATATCAAAGGGAGGTTAAAGGGGGATACAAAAGGGAGGTTAAAGGAAGGATACCAAAGGGAGGTTAAAGGAAGGATACCAAAGGGAGGTTAAAGAAAGGATACCAAAGGGAGGTTAAAGGGGGGATACAAAAGGGAGGTTAAAGGAAGATACCAAAGGGAGGTTAAAGGGGGGATACAAAAGGGAGGTTAAAGGAAGATACCAAAGGGAGGTTAAAGAAGATACAAAAGGGAGGTTAAAGGAAGGATACCAAAGGGAGGTTAAAGGAAAGATACCAAAGGGAGGTTAAAGAAGATACAAAAGGGATGTTAAAGGGGGAATACAAAAGGGAGGTTAAAGGAAGGATACCAAAGGGAGGTTAAAGGGGGGATACAAAAGGGAGGTTAAAGGAAGGATACCAAAGGGAGGTTAAAGGGGGGATACAAAAGGGAGGTTAAAGGAAGGATACCAAAGGGAGGTTAAAGGAAGGATACCAAAGGGAGGTTAAAGGAAGGATACCAAAGGGAGGTTAAAGGAAGATACCAAAGGGAGGTTAAAGGAAGATACCAAAGGGAGGTTAAAGAAGATACAAAAGGGAGGTTAAAGGAAGGATACCAAAGGGAGGTTAAAGGAAGATACCAAACGGAGGTTAAAGGAAGATACCAAAGGGAGGTTAAAGGGGGGATACCAAAGAAAGGTTAAAGGAAGGATACCAAAGAGAGGTTAAAGGAAGGATACCAAAGGGAGGTTAAAGGGGGATACAAAAGGGAGGTTAAAGGGGGGACACAAAAGGGAGGTTAAAGGAAGGATACCAAAGGGAGGTTAAAGGAAGATACCAAAGGGAGGTTAAAGGGGGGTACCAAAGGGAGGTTAAAGGAAGGATACCAAAGGGAGGTTAAAGGAAGGATACCAAAGGGAGGTTAAAGGGGGGATACAAAAGGGAGGTTAAAGGAAGGATACCAAAGGGAGGTTAAAGGAAGGATACCAAAGGGAGGTTTAAAGGGGGATACAAAAGGGAGGTTAAAGGAAGGATACCAAAGGGAGGTTAAAGGAAGATACCAAACGGAGGTTAAAGGAAGATACCAAAGGAAGGTTAAAGTGGGATACAAAAGTGAGGTTAAAGGAAGGATACCAAAGGGAGGTTAAAGGAAGGATACCAAAGGGAGGCTAAAGGAAGGATACCAAAGGGAGGTTAAAGGGGGGGGGGGGTACGAAAGGGAGGTTAAAGGAAGGATACCAAAGGGAGGTTAAAGGAAGGATACCAAAGGGAGGTTAAAGGGTGGATACCGAAGGGAGGTTAAAGGGGGGATACAAAAGGGAGGTTAAAGGGGGATACAAAAGGGAGGTTAAAGGAAGGTAACCCAAGGGAATTAAAGGGGGGATACAAACGGGAGGTTAAAGGAAGGATACCACAGGGAGATTAAAGGAAGGATACCAAAGGGAGGTTAAAAGAAGCATACCAAAGGGAGGTTAAAGGAAGATACCAAAGGGAGGTTAAAAGAAGATACCAAAGAGAGGTTAAAGAAGATACAAAAGGGAGGTTAAAGGAAGGATACCAAAGGGAGGTTAAAGGAAGATACCAAACGGAGGTTAAAGGAAGATACCAAAGGGAGGTTAAAGGGGGGATACAAAAGGGAGGTTAAAGGAAGGATACGATAGGGAGGTTAAAGGAAGGATACCAAAGGGAGGTTAAAGGAAGGATACGAAAGGGAGGTTAAAGGAAGGATACCAAAGGGAGGTTAAAGGGGGGATACAAAAGGGCGGTTAAAGGAAGGATACCAAAGGGAGGTTAAAGGAAGGATACCAAACGGAGGTTAAAGGAAGATACCAAAGGGAGGTTAAAGGAAGGATACCAAAGGGAGGTTAAAGGAAGGATACCAAAGGGAGGTTAAAGGGGGGATACAAAAGGGAGGTTAAAGGAAGGATACAAAAGGGAGGTTAAAGGAAGATACCAAAGAGAGGTTAAAGGGGGGATACAAAAGGGAGGTTAAAGGAAGGATACAAAAGGGAGGTTAAAGGGGGGATACAAAAGGGAGGTTAAAGGGGGGATACAAAAGGGAAGTTAAAGGAAGGATACCAAAGGGAGGTTAAAGGAAGATACCAAACGGAGGTTAAAGGAAGGATACCAAAGGGAGGTTAAAGGAAGGATATCAAAGGGAGTTAAAGGGGGGATACAAACGGGAGGTTAAAGGAAGGATACCAAAGGGAGGTTAAAGGAAGGATACCAAAGGGAGGTTAAAGGGGGGATACAAAAGGGAGGTTAAAGGGGGGATACAAAAGGGAGGTTAAAGGAAGGATACCAAAGGGAGGTTAAAGGAAGATACCAAACGGAAGTTAAAGGAAGATACCAAACGGAGATTAAAGGAAGATACCAAAGGGAGGTTAAAGGGGGGATACAAAACGGGAGGTTAAAGGAAGGATACCAAAGGGAGGTTAAAGGAAGGATACCAAAGGGAGGTTAAAGGAAGGATACCAAAGGGGAGTTAAAGGGGGATACAAAAGGGAGGTTAAAGGGGGGATACAAAAGGGAGGTTAAAGGAAGGATACCAAAGGGAGGTTAAAGGAAGATACCAAACGGAGGTGAAAGGAAGATACCAAAGGGAGGTTAAAGGGGGATACAAAAGGGAGGTTAAAGGAAGGATACCAAAGGGAGGTTAAAGGAAGGATACCAAAGGGAGGTTAAAGGGGGGTACCAAAGGGAGGTTAAAGGAAGGATACCAAAGGGAGGTTAAAGGAAGGATACCAAAGGGAGGTTAAAGGGGGGATACAAAAGGGAGGTTAAAGGAAGGATACCAAAGGGAGGTTAAAGGGGGGATACAAAAGGGAGGTTAAAGGAAGGATACCAAAGGGAGGTTAAATGAAGATACCAAAGGGAGGTTAAAGGGGGGATACAAAAGGGAGGTTAAAGGGGGGATACAAAAGGGAGGTTAAAAGAAGGATACCAAAGGGAGGTTAAAGGGGGGATACAAAAGGGAGGTTAAAGGAAGATACCAAAGGGAGGTTAAAATTCTTAAGTCGAAGAAAGACCGACAAAAGCATGACAAAAAAGAAAATACAACGAAAAGACGAAAAGATAAACAAAGTCCACAAAACATCAAATACAAAACACAAAATCTAACAATAGACAATCGCTTGCAAAGTTCATGACTTTGGACAGCAACACGGTCATGTGTAAGGTTAAACTAGTTTATAGAGATCTCAACCCTCCTTTCAATCCATATCAGTTATCTATATATAAGTACCTTACAGGAAATTAAAAACATTTAAGTTTTTATGAGACTTTTGTCTCAACGAAATATTAATTTTTTTTCGACCCTAGTTGTACCAATTGAACAACCGTGACTACTGAGAGTAGCACTACCAACAATAACTCAATAAAATTCCATTTTAAAGCTCACCCAGTTTCAAAATAAGTTTCCACTTTACCATGGTCTTCGAATGGAAATTTGCTTTAAGTGCAAAAATAACAGCACAATAAAATGCGTCTTATATAAGAACACCTTTACAATATTACACGGTCATTTTGCCCAATGTATATGCTTTAAGGTGGTACCTAACACTACAGGGAGATAACTCTGTAAAAATCAGCTAAACGTTTTAATTACGTTGTAATGTTAAGGAAATATTAAGCTTCTCAATGATCAAAATTAGTGTTTGTCAAACTGCTATATAACCAACGAAATTTTTCTGATAAAGTGGTTGGTTCAAATTTTTTGAATTTTTTATATTTTTGTCAAAGGGTCAAAGTAAACATTTTGTCAAAATTTTATGAAAATTAAACGAGCCAAATTAATATTAGTCAAGGTGTTGGGTACCACCTTAAATGACGTTAACATTATTAATTGTATAACAATTTTATTTTTCAAAACAAATATTAAGATATCAACAGAACTTTTAACAATAAATATTAACTGATACAGTAATTATATTACAAAGTAAGACATTGTTAATTTACAAAGGGTTATGCTCTTAATCAACTTCTTCCACGGTTGGTCCATTAGAAGTGCTTTGACCGTCGTATTGTCCTCCTGTACTATTTGATGGTCCATTTTGAGAACCACCATGAAGTTTTGTCATGACGGGGGTACATACTTTCTGCAGTTCATTCATTTTGTCATCGCATTCCTCTTTCTCTGCCAGAGAATTATTATCCAACCATTTAAGTGACTCTTCACAAGCTTTGCCTACATCGTCTTTGTCCTGTGTCGACAGCTTGTCTCCAGAGTCACCGATCGCTTGTTTAACACTGAATATGTAGTTTTCTAATTGATTTCTTGAAGTGATACGCTGGGTTTGTTTTTCGTCTTCTTCTTTATATTTCTCAGCATCGGAAACCATTCTATCAATGTCTTCTTTACTGAGCCTTCCTCTATCATTTGTGATTGTAATTTTCTTTGAATTTCCAGTGCTTTTGTCTTGAGCCGAAACATTTAAAAGTCCGTTCGCATCAATATCAAATTCTACTTCAATCTTAGGCACACCGCGGGGAGCTGGAGGTATACCAGTGAGATCAAATTTTCCAAGATGATTATTGTCTTTGGTCATTGCTCTTTCACCTTCAAAAACCTGAATGCTAACTGCTGGTTGGTTGTCTGAATACGTTGTAAATATCTGTGAGGCCTTTGTAGGGATCTTTGTATTCCTGTCAATTAGTTTGGCCATAACACCACCTGCAGTTTCAATACCAAGGGACAATGGAGCTACGTCAACTAAAAGAACATCTTTGATAGTGTCGCTACGATCGCCTGACAGAATAGCTGCTTGGACGGCTGCACCGTAAGCAACAGCTTCATCTGGATTGACCGATTTATTCAGTTCTTTCCCATTCATGAATTCTGACAGCATTTTCTGTATTTTTGGTATCCTTGTTGAACCTCCGACAAGTACAATCTCTTGAATACTACTTTTATCAAGTTTAGCGTCTCTTAAAGCTTTTTCAACTGGTTCAAGTGTCGTTCTGAACAAATCTGAGCACAGTTCTTCAAATCGTGCTCTTCCTATTTTTGTGTAAAAGTCTGTTCCCTCAAACAATGAGTCGATCTCCACATTTGCCCCTGTACTGCTTGATAATGTTCTCTTCGCTTTCTCACAAGCAGTTCTCAATCTTCTGAGTGCACGATTGTTACCAGAAATGTCTTTACCACATTTTCTCTTAAACTCTTTTACAAAATGATTGACCATTCTGTTGTCAAAGTCTTCGCCTCCAAGGTGAGTATCTCCAGCTGTTGAGCGAACTTCGAACAATGAACCCTCGTCTATCGTAAGAATTGAAACGTCGAATGTTCCTCCTCCCAAATCAAATATTAACACGTTTTTCTCTCCCGATAAATTCTTGTCAAGACCGTAAGCTAAAGCAGCGGCTGTTGGCTCGTTTATTATACGCAGCACATTAAGTCCTGCAATAAAACCAGCATCCTTTGTGGCTAGTCTTTGAGAATCATTAAAGTATGCAGGTACTGTGATGACGGCATCTGTAACTTTCTTTCCGAGATAAGCTTCAGCGGTTTCTTTCATTTTAACTAATACCATTGAACTTATTTCCTCTGGGGTAAATATTTTTGTTTCTCCTTTGTGTTCCGCTTGTAGTTTTGGCTTTCCTCCACTATTAATGACTTTGAATGGCCAATGTTTCATGTCTGACTGAACTGTCGAATCATTAAAATTTCTGCCGATCAGTCTTTTGGCATCGAAGATTGTATTTGAAGCGTTCAGAGCGACTTGATTTTTTGCTGCATCACCAACAAGTCTTTCAGTATCCGTGAATGCCACATAACTTGGAGTTGTTCTGTTCCCCTGGTCGTTGGCAATGATGTCTACTTTTCCATGCTGGAAAACACCTACACATGAGTAAGTTGTTCCAAGATCAATTCCGATTGCTGGACCTTTTCCTGCCATATCAAGTTATTTCACTTTTGTCTACGATAAATAATCTAGAAAGATAAAAGTAATTTCTGTTATATTTCTGTATAACTGAGTTAAAACCAACTTTACATTTACTTACTTGGATATAAAAGTAGTTTGAATAACCGGACCTAACCAGTGAATGTTCATTGATATTTTATGTATCTTATGAAAAATTAGGCGCAAATTTAACTAAAATATTATCTATGAACTTATGTATCTTATGAAAAATTAGGCGCAAATTTAACTAAAATATTATCTATGAACTATGTTTATTGTTCCTCTGTGACTTCACACAGGATCTGTTATTCTCAGCCACTATATAGTACAGAAAACGCAAATGAGATTTTAAACAAAATTAAAACAAAAAAAGGAATACATTACTTTTAGTCGATTCAACAATTTAACTTCAAGTCTTGATGATCTGTTTTTGTTAATCAATAGTTATACAGCAATATATTAATATTTCTTATTATGCTAAAATTATAGAAACTATTCATTGTAAAAATGTGAAATGAAATGAATTACATACCAGTAAATATCAATTGTCTTATGATGATTTTTCTTTCAGAATATCTGTGCTTTAACACTCTGTACTCACTTATTGACTGTCGTCTATTTTGTTACTGATTCCTCTCAATACAGTATCGCCTTTTATATACTCTAAAAACGAAGGTTCGTGATCATTCAAGAAAATCTTAAGTTAGAAATTTATTTTTAGTTTGAAATCCTCTGTTATTATCCCTATGGAAGAATGATGACACCCAATAATATCGAAAGAATATTGGGAATGTTATTTCTATTTTTAGGATAATAAATATAAATACAATTCAGCTAGCGTTGATCTTAAATATTCTCGAATGTTGTCGAAAGTTCAATATTAAAGTTTTTTGACACAAGACCAAGTTCTTTAGGAAATCATGATTTAAATAGATTAAAGTTAAAAAGAAAAATAAATAAGAGGATTTGATTTGTCTGTTTCCGATTTATAAATTAAATTCAACTAAATATTATGAGCATATTGTAATCAGTATTGATATACCAGTACATGTAATTAACTTTTTAGTTGTCAGACATAAGAATATATAAATATTTTAAAACATCTACCACATAGTACGAATGTAACTACAAACTATCATAAGTTTATGACAGAAGTCTTGAGTTTAGCTATGTATGTTGGTTGAGGGAACTCTTGTTTATAATGGTGAAAGAGACAGGAAGTAATAAACACATACTAAACTGAGGGTCTGGATGGGGTTTACAGAATAGAGAATAATTGGCAAAATGTGCAGAATGGCAAAAAATATGAAGAATAGAGAAATAAAGAACAAACAAATAAAAAATATAAAGAATAGAGAAATAAAGAACAAACAAATAAAAAATAGAGAATAGAGAAATAAAGAACAAACAAATAAAAAATAGAGAATAGAGAAATAAAGAACAAACAAATAAAAATAGAGAATAATGGGATGCTACAATATAAAGAATAGAGAAAAATAACTTAAAAAATAAAAAAATACAGAAATGAAGGATCCCCATCCAGACACTCTAATATGATACTACCTTTTATGCTTTTGAGACAGGCGGGACAAAGAAATTTACACATATATAAGTCAGTCTTTAACAGGTATCATCCCCTGGTGTCAGCTGTGTCTAGGATACCACACTGCTATTGTCTTTGCTGCTGGCACGGGAAGGACTGTAAACATGCATTTCATTGGAGCCAAAGACGCCTTACAAATAGATACAACTACTGTTGAAGATGGACATGGCACAGAGTTTTTATAAACTAAAATGGTATAGGGTGGTTATTATATGGAAGTTATATATATCTTTTATATAACTATGTATTATTTTTTTCTCAATATTTAATCAGTCACACTTGCATTGTGTATCATAAAAACTTAAGCTGTTTAATATTTACATAAGAAAGTTATATATCACTTGGTTTTATTGAATGTTATTTGTTTTAATCTCATATTGTAATGTTATTGTCATATCAAATGTTTATGCTCTTGTGTATCCTTAATTGGAATAAAATATTCCTCTTCTTCTTCATCATCTATTCTTAATTTGGCATACGGAAGCGTATTAGCGTTACATCATTACTATTATTATTTTAATCTTCGCGTTATTTCATCAAGGCTGGCATCGTTTCGGAATGTTTTGCTTAATTTCCCAGACTGTGTGTGTGTGTTTTTATAGTATTTTTTTTATTATTAATTTCAACTGTAAACATGAATACCGTTTTCATTCAGTTAAAACGGAAGCAGCTGTCATATTTTTTTTATCGTCCATTAGAAAGATGACAAGACCAAAGCAATGGTTTTTATCTTCTTACGGATAAACATCCAGCTGACAAAACGACTACGTGTTTCACCTGCTCACCTATTGAAAGAGAGCGCATTGTTGAATGGTCAGGTACTTTGTTGGAACAGCAGCATAAGAACATTTAAATATACAACATGATGCACTCTAATGAAGACAAGGAAGCTAGACCAGAAATCGTGCCAAGAAAAACACACATTTGACCTTATCCATACTTGGAAATCATCGGTTTACGAAATTTTCGATTTGAAAAATGTGTCAACAGTGGTGCCTTGCTTAACATTTGACAAAACCGTTCTCACGTAAAACTGACTGTCTAGGTTCGCATTATTGTAAGAAGTCGAAAACAATCGATAACTATCGAGATGACGATAAGTTGATAATAAAAACTGTTCAACAGGAGTATTATCCGACACAAATAGATTGTCTTATGCTGCACGGATAATACTCCTGTTGAACAGTTGAAAAAAATAATACATAGTCATATAAAAGATATATATATAAAGTTGTCCTAAAAGGTTCAGCATGTTTACAGTCCTCCCATGTCAGCAGAAATTAAATTAGCTATGTTGTATCCTAGAAGCAGATGTTACCAGGGATTGATACCTGTAAAAGACTGACCGGCATGCTAAGTGTATATATGGAAATGTCTATCCTATCTGTATTATAAGCATATAATCGGTAGCAGCATACAATTTGAAACAATTATGTTTGTTATTTCCTGTCCTTTCCACTATAAGTGAACAAAAGATGAAAAAGAGAGGCGAAAGATACAAGAAGGACATTCAAACTCATAAGTCGAAAATAAATTGACAACGCCAGGGCTAAAAAAGAAAAAGACCAACAGACAAATAATAGTACACAAAACGCAACATAGAAAACTAAAGACTGAGCAGCCAGAACCCCACCTAAAACTGGGGGTGATCTCAGGTGCTCCGGAAGGGTAAACAAATCCTGCACAACATGTGGCACCCGTCGTGAAGATACGCTCATTGCCGAAATGCGCATGTAGTGCAGAAAAATATTGGTACCGTTAATGTTATATGTTATTCTGTCATAACCCTTAATATGTCAGTTTGTAATTCATATCATAAGTAGATATTTATATATTCTTAATTTTTAATATTAAAACCTTAATTGTTTCTGTCTGTACTATAAACTTATAATAATAGGTGAAATTAATTTATTAATCGGGAACAGACAAAATCAAGGATTTATAAAGTTACTATATAAATCCTTGACAAAATCATACCCTCTTATGTAAATTCATCTTCAACTTTTTTTAGATCATGTTTTTAAAGTATTCATAAAAAACTTGATCTTGTGCAAATAACTTCAACATTGAACTTTCGACAACATTCGAGAATATCTAAGATCAACACATCTTGTATTGTACATTTGTATTTATATTTACTATCCTAAAAATAGAAATAACATTCCCAATGTTCATTCGATATTATTGGATGTCATCATACTTCGATAAGGATAACAACAGAGGATGTCGCACTACAAATACTTTTCTAACTTTAGACTTTCTTGAATGATCAGGAACTTTCGTTTTGAGTATATAAAAGGCGATATACTGTAAGGAGAGTAATCATAACAAAATAGACGACGGTTAATAAGAGACAGAGGGTTAAAGCAAAGACTTAAAAACAGGAGATCCCGAAAGAAAAAAATCATCAATTGATATCTATTGGTATGTACTCTATTTTATTTTACATTTTTACAATGAATAGTTGAGTTACTTAAATGTACGCATTTTAAAAATTCATATATTTTTGCTGTTTCAATATTGATTAAATAAAGGAGATCATCAAGTTAAAGAATTGTTTTGACTTTAAGAAATGTATTCCCTTTTTTGAAATGGCTGCGGCTAGTTTTTAATAATAAGATACACATGATGTTAATATGAAGATGTTAAAAAATAAATCACAATACTCTGGTCAAATGAGGTAACTCTCTCTCTCTATTTATTTTGTAAAAGTAAGTATTTCGCAGTTTCACATTCAAAGTAAACCAGTTATACAGAAATATAAAAGAAATAACTATTATCTTTCCAGATTATTTATCGTAGTGAAATAACTTGATATGGCAGGAAAAGGTCCAGCAATCGGAATTGATCTTGGAACAACTTACTCATGTGTAGGTGTTTTCCAGCATGGAAAAGTAGACATCATTGCCAACGACCAGGGGAACAGAACAACTCCAAGTTATGTGGCTTTCACGGACACTGAAAGACTTGTTGGTGATGCAGCTAAAAATCAAGTCGCTCTGAACGCTTCAAATACAATCTTCGATGCCAAAAGACTGATCGGCAGAAATTTTAGTGATGCGACAGTTCAGTCAGACATGAAACATTGGCCATTCAAAGTCATTAATAGTGGAGGAAAGCCAAAACTACAAGCGGAGCACAAAGGAGAAACAAAAACATTTACCCCAGAGGAAATAAGTTCAATGGTATTAGTAAAAATGAAAGAAACCGCTGAAGCTTATCTCGGAAAGAAAGTTACAGATGCCGTCATCACAGTACCTGCATACTTTAATGATTCTCAAAGACTAGCCACAAAGGATGCTGGTTTTATTGCAGGACTTAATGTGCTGCGTATAATAAACGAGCCAACAGCCGCTGCTTTAGCTTACGGTCTTGACAAGAATTTATCGGGAGAGAAAAACGTGTTAATATTTGATTTGGGAGGAGGAACATTCGACGTTTCAATTCTTACGATAGACGAGGGTTCATTGTTCGAAGTTCGCTCAACAGCTGGAGATACTCACCTTGGAGGCGAAGACTTTGACAACAGAATGGTCAATCATTTTGTAAATGAATTCAAGAGAAAATGTAGTAAAGACATTTCTGTTAACAATCGTGCACTCAGAAGATTGAGAACTGCTTGTGAGAAAGCGAAGAGAACATTATCAATATATACATCATTATTCTATTTAATTTCTGTTTCATTCTTATGTTCATATATATATATATATTTGCTATTATTGTATGCATTGTGATAATATTTTCCTTCAGTTTTATATGTTAAGCGCTTAGAGTATTATGTTTATTAGATAGGCGCTATATAAAAGCTATGTAATAATAATAATATCAAGCAGTACAGAGGCAAACGTGGAGATCGACTCATTGTTTGAGGGAACAGACTTTTACACAAAAATAGGAAGAGCACGATTTGAAGAACTGTGCTCAGATTTGTTCAGAACGACACTTGAACCAGTTGAAAAAGCTTTAAGAGACGCTAAACTTGATAAAAGTAGTATTCAAGAGATTGTACTTGTCGGAGGTTCAACAAGGATACCAAAAATACAGAAAATGCTGTCTGAATTTATGAATGGGAAAGAACTTAATAAATCGGTCAATCCAGATGAAGCTGTTGCTTACGGTGCAGCCGTCCAAGCAGCTATCCTGTCAGGCGATCGTAGCGACACTATCAAAGATGTACTTTTGGTTGACGTAGCTCCATTGTCCCTTGGTATTGAAACTGCAGGTGGTGTAATGGCCAAACTAATTGACAGGAATTCAAAAATCCCTACAAAGGCCTCACAGATATTTACAACGTATTCAGACAACCAACCAGCAGTTAGCATTCAGGTTTTTGAAGGTGAAAGAGCAATGACCAAAGACAATAATCATCTTGGAAAATTCGATCTCACTGGTATACCTCCAGCTCCCCGCGGTGTGCCTAAGATTGAAGTAGAATTTGATATTGATGCAAACGGACTTTTAAATGTTTCGGCTCAAGACAAAAGCACTGGAAATTCAAAGAAAATTACAATCACAAATGATAGAGGAAGACTCAGTAAAGAGGACATTGATCGGATGGTTTCCGATGCTGAGAAATATAAAGAGGAAGACGAAAAACAAACCCAGCGTATCACTTCAAGAAATCAATTAGAAAACTACATATTCAGTATTAAACAAGCTATCGGTGATTCTGGAGAAAAGTTGTCGACACAGGACAAAGACGACGTAGTCAAAGCATGTGAAGAATCACTTAAATGGTTGGATAATAATTCTATGGCAGAGAAAGAGGAATTTGAGGACAAAATAAAAGAACTGCAGAAAGTATGTACTCCCGTTATGACAAAACTTCATGAAGGTGCTCAAAATGGACCATCAAATAGTACAGGCGGTCAAAGCACTTCTAATGGACCGACCGTGGAAGAAGTTGATTAAAAGCATAGCCCTTTGTAAATTAACAATTACCTACTTTGTATTATAATTACAATGTATTGTTATAATTACGGTAGTTATAATTTGTTGTTATAATTACTGTAGTTACAAGTTGTTGTTATAATTACTGTAGTTACAAGTTGTTGTTATAATTACTGTAGTTACAAGTTGTTGTTATCAGTTAATTTTTATTTTTAAATGTTCAGTTTATATCTCAAAATTTGTTTTAAAAATAAAAATTGTTATAGAATTGATAATGTTTATGTTATTTAAAGAATACATATTTGACAACATGACCGTGTAATGTTTCAAAGGTGTCTTTATATTAGATTCATTTAATTGTGCCGTAATTATTCCACTGAAAGCTATTCAAATCCGAATACCATGGAAAAGTGGGGACATGCTAATAGAGACTGAGCGAACATTAAAATGCAAGTTAACTGAGTTATTGTTGTTTGCACTAATATCAGTATTACGAATACGAAAGGATTTTTTTTTATATTTTGTTTTGTATACTGTTGTTTGTCATTTGGTAGTTTTCCGTTTTTTATCGATTTTATCGGTATCCTCTACGACTTGTGTTTAATATTCTCCCTTTGGTATCTCCGGCCTCTTTTAATATATATATATATATATGTGTGTATGTGTACCTAGAATATCAACTTAAGGATGTTCGCTACTCTGTTTCAAAATAACAAGCTTTTTAAAAGTCTGATATAAATTGATAGTATATGAATAAAGGACCTAAAAAATCAGAAAAAAATGATAGGTTCGTGTGCTTGTTTTCGAGATATAAGCCTTTGAAAATTTGGCGGGAAATGATTCTCTCTAGATTTTTCATACATTTAACATTGACACCTTTTTTCTTTCAAAAACAATGAAAAAATAATAAGGATTTTATAAGATTTTCAAATATGGCCTTTTAACTATATGTAATAAAATTATGAAAAGAAAAGTAGGGATTAGTTGACAAAATTATTTAATGGCCAAACATGGATAAAACCAGAGGATTCCGAAAATCTGGCAAAAAATCAAAAACAAGAGGAGAGAACATTCTTAAAAATGTGAGAGTAGATCCCATCCTCAACGGGCTGGAACCTGTACATTTACTTCTCACTTCTATGGCAAATGCACAGCTGCATTATTCCCTTTTTTAACTTTAGCTGATAAAAATGAGCTTTCGTTTAGGGAGATGTTACCCTTTTGTAGGTCGACTAATGATAACAAACAAAGAATTGTTAAGTGTACAAGAATGATGATCTACTCATCTCATTAGTTTTCTTAATTGCAGGATATATAATTAACTTGTTACTAGACAGACGTAATGATATATAAATATCCACATATACTACTTGAATGTGCGAATGTACCATAATCTGACATTATATTTGTTATGTCAGAACTACATCTTATGATAACGTTTGGTAAATAGGACAGGAAATAGTGCTGATTGTGGTACAACAAATGGTACTCGAAGGATTTGACCTCGAAATATTAATAAGCTGTGAAAACATCGGCCCGAGTTAATTCATAATTACATTCAGGATATTCCTTTCAAAAGTTTCATAGTAAGTAACTGGTTACATGTAAAAATAATTATTAAATATGATCTGATAACGTTTTGCATAATATCACACCAAATAAGAAAGTTTGTCAACCATACAATTAGTTTTTATTTGACCATGTTGTAAACAAAGAAGGATAACTCAACAACATAATAGGAAAGTGTTTTGTCTTCACAGAATTATGTGACGAGGGAAACGGTTAAACATCTTTGCCCTTTGCAGGATGGCAGGGAAGGTTTCAAAAGGGGACACGCCTTTACCCGATTTGATGAGAAGACATAAAGATGTGCGTCCTACACCTTGTGTTATATATTTCGTTCTTGTAATTGTCTGAAATTTAAAATTATTTTAAATTAAACTGACAATCTCGAAGCCAAAGAAGAGGGACGAAATATACCAGAGGGACAACCAAACTCATAGATCGAAAACAAACTGACAACGCCATGGCCAAAAATAAAAAGACAAACAGACAAATAATAGTACAGATGACACATCATAGAAAAACCAAAGACTAAGCAACACGAACCCCACCAAAAACTGGGAGTGATCTTAGGTGCTCCGGAAGGGTAAGCAGATCCTGCTCCACATGTGGCACCCGTCGTGTTGCTTATGTTATTACAAATCCGGTAAATAGTCTACTTCGGTAAGTCACATTCGTGAAAAGGGAGGGTAGTGTAGTTACGACATAAGGAACATATCCGATATCATCTGTGAAACGGTTATTCCATAACGGTCAACCAACTCGTGATGGCGTCCGTAAAATTTATGAAGGGATGATTTCAACTCCCCTATTTGGAACTCTTGGTTTAATAGCTTCCTTGTGAGTAGCAATCCTCTATCAAGGAAATCATGATAGGAAACACAAGCCCGGGAATATCGTATCAATTGGGAGATATAAAATTACTCCGTATGCAGGCGCTGCTGGAATGTTGCTACATAGAAATGGAAAGTTCACAATTGGGAAGCTGAAATCATCTCTTTTGTCGCAATTTATACGCATGGTTGATTTATTTAATATTGTGTCATTTCAGATAAGAGCAGGGATAATTTTTCATCACTTATTTTGCGTCTTTAAATCTAATAAAATCCTAAAATTGGAAGACTTTGTAAAAGCGGGTACTCACAAATACATTTCTGAAAGATTTTTTAAATTGTTGTAAGACACATGTAAATATTTTCAGATAATTTAACTTCAAAGCAAATATCCACCCGAACGACATCATGAAGTCAAAGTATTGTCCGTACAATTGAAATGACCTCAAAGAGTTTGATTTTTATATTGCGTTTTTTGCTATCCGTTGATTGTGACAGATATGCGTGCAGTCAAGAACAATTACCTCGCTTGTTATTAATAAAATAATAGCGAATAATAATAATAATAATAATAATAATAATAATAATAGTAATAATAATAATAATAATGAAAAAAATGACAATTCACTGATCAGTTCAGGTAGTACACGTTTCCCGATTAAATTATACAATTAGTTTTTACAAATTTTATACAAGCATGAAATTTGCACTAAAATTCATATATTTAGCAGATGCGTGCTCATCATCATTTTTCTGTAATTGATATGCAATAAAATTTGCTATTTATCTTTCCAGATTATTTATCGTAGACAAAAGTGAAATAACTTGATATGGCAGAAAAAGGTCCAGCTATTGGAATTGATCTAGGGACAACTTACTCTTGTGTTGGTGTTTTCAAGCACGGGAAAGTAGAGATAATTGCCAACGACCAGGGAAACAGAACAACTCCAAGCTATGTGGCTTTCATGGATACTGAAACACTTGTTGGTGATTCAGCTAAAAACACAGTCGCTTTGAATGCTAAAAATACAATATTCAATACCAAGAGACTGATCGGAAGACATTTTAGTGATTCGAAAGTTCAGTCAGACATGAAACATTTGCCCTTCAAAGTAATCAATAGTGGAGGCAAGCCGAAACTAAAAGTCGAACAGAAAGGAGAAATAAAAATATTAACCCCTGAGGAAATTGGTGCAATGGTATTAGTTAAAATGAAACAAACCGCTGAAGCTTATCTCGAAACGAAAGTTACAGATGCCGTCATCACAGTACCTGCATACTTTAATCATTCTCAAAGACTAGCCACAAAGGATGCCGGTTTCATTGCAGGACTTAATGTACTGCATATAATAAACGAGCTGCTGCTCTAGCTTACGGTATTGACAAAAATTTAACAGGCAAGAAAAACGTGTTGATATTTGATTTGGGAGGAGGAGCATTCGACGTTTCAGTCATTTCGATGAATGAGGGATCATTGTGCTAGGTCCGCTCTACCAGAGGGAATAGTCACCTTGGAGGCGAAGACTTTGACAACAGAATGGTCATGCATTTTCTAAATGAATTCAAGAGAAAGTATAAAAAGGATATTTCTAGCAATACTCGAGCAATCAGAATTCTGAGAACTGCCTGTGAGAGAGCAAAGAAAACATTATCAAGTACTTCAGAGGCAAACGTGGAAATCGATTCTTTGTTTGAGAATATTGACTTTTATACAAAAATTACTAGAGCTCGGTTTGAAGAACTGTGCTCAGATTTGTTCAGATTGACACTTGCACCTGTTGAAAAAGCCATAAGAGAAGCTAAACTTAATAAAAGTAGTATTCATGAGGTTGTACTTGTTGGAGGTTCAACAAGGATACCAAAAATACAGAAAATACTCTCGGAATTTATGAATGGGAAAGAACTTAACAAATCTGTCAACCCAGACGAAGCTGTGACGTATGGGGCTACCGTGTATGCTGCTATCCTGTCTGGCGATCGTAGCGACACTATCAAAGATGTATTTTTAGTTGACGTAATTCCTTTCTCCCTTGGATTTAAAACTCCAGGTGGCGTAATGACCAAAGTGATTGAAAGGAATACATACACCCCTATAAAGGTCTCAAAGACATTTTCAACGTATTCGGACAATCAAACTACATTTAGTATTGAGGTTTTTTAAGGTAACAGAGCAATGACTAAAGACAATTTTCGTCTTGGAAAATTCTATCTTACTGGTATACCTCCAGCTCTCCGCGGAGTGCCTCAGATTGATGTAGAATTTGAAATGAATGCAAATGGACTTTTAAATGTTTCGGCTCAAGACAAAAGCACTGGAAATTCACAGAACATTACAATCTTAAGTGACAAAAGTAAAGAGGAAATTGATCGAATGGTTTCCGATGCTGAGAAATATAAAGAAGAAATTGAAAAACAAAAGCAGCGTCTCACAGCAAGAAATCAACTAGAACACTTTATATTTAGTGTTAAACAGGCTTGTGAAGAGTCACTAAGTTGGCTGGATAATAATTCTCTGGCAGAGAAAGAAGAATATGAGGACAAAATGAAAGAATTGCACAAAGTTTGTACCCCCTTCGTGACCAAACTGCATGATAATGATCAAAATGGAACGTCAATTAGTGACTGAGGACAATATGACAGTGACAGCATGCCACATGAACGACCTACTGTGGAGAAAGTTGATTAAGAACTTTGTGAATTAATCGTACAATATAAGTTTACCATATATCAGTTTGGAAAATAACTTTACCCTCGCTCCGAGAGGAGGAGGTATACTGATTAACGTCTATTCATTCATTCGTCCAAGTTTTCGTCTGTCCGACCGTCCGTATAATGAAATGTTTGTCACACTTTTCGCCTCAGGAATTGGTAATCATAGCTTCCGGAAATTTGGTAGTCAGCTTCATTCGGGCATGCCTGAACGTGTGCAGCTTTTCAAATATTTTGGCCTCAAGCATCACTGAAAAGACATTGATTGTCGAAATGCGCATCTGGTGCAGAAAAATTGGTACCGTTTACTAGTATGTTATTTTTGACATTCTTCTCTTATCAGTTTCTCGTTATCGATTACTTATGTATTTTTAAAACATAATGGGTATATATGAAATTTTCGTCACATTTTTCACAGGAACAACCATCAAAAGCTTCCTGAAATTTGATATTAAGCTTCATGGGAGCATGCTTTACCTTGTGATTCATTTCCAGGTTCACTCAAGAACTTCCTGTTAACCGAATACCTGTATTTTCTTATTTAACAAGGCCATGCATAAACGATTTCTCTTCCTGTTTATCAACTATATAGTTCACAGTTCAACTTAAGCTTGTAACTGTTGCTTTAATTTTTGTTATTTTTATTTATTATCAATTTTGTATTAAATTTTCAAATGTTTACTTTGTTTTTTCAAAAAGTGGATAATACATTTTAGTCCTTGTCGTTGTCAAAACACTCGAACATGCTGATTCAGTTGCCAGGGTGCTGGGTCCACTAAGTGGTGGTGCTCAAGATATGAATTGTATTCGAGTATCATATTTAGTAAATGACGAAGGTGTAAGTGGTGGCGTAGGATAGGCTGAAAAGAAGTGGCAAACATTTGAAAGTGACATGCACTAATTGCTTAGTAGTGAGTCAGTGTTCATATTCATTTTCATCTTTTATTTTCTATAATTTTGTCTTTTGCCAAAAGGTGCGGGAGGGGCAAAACATTACATTGTTAAGAGGACACACGGGTCATATTTAGATGTAGCTCTACTAATGAGCAGTGCACCTGAAGCAATGAGGATTTTTACATCATAACAACTTTGCAGAGGATGTGGTCATTTTAAACAAGCTACAAATATTATTTTTTAACGTCCATAGTAGTTCCCCCTTGTAATGAAATCTCAATAAATACGTTATGATTGCAAAATACGTTTAATTGTCTTGATAGGTATGAAATTTATACAATAACGTCATTCACTACAGCACTTTGGATACAACCTAGCCGTAGTTCGATGTTAGTTCTTCGAATATTTTCCGACACTCTTCATAATTAATGCATAGCAGCTGGGAACAGTATAACTAACATATATATATATATGTTCCTGATAGCAGCAAGGATCTTAGTCATTGACACTCTGCAAGATTCAGCGAGAGCTGCCGGGGGCTTTAACTTACTAAATTTCAACTGATAAAAATGGATAAATTCAAAAGATGTATTTGTGTCAGTCCCATTGAAAATTTTCATATTTCTAAATAGAAATGCACAATTGTGGCAATAATTTCTTATCCTTGTTTTTCATTGACTTGTCAGTTGTTTTGTGGGTCTAAATTTGTTTAATCCTTATAACGAGTATTATAATTTTCTTTATATCTTTTCATTGCCATTTGGTCTAATAGAACACACAGTCAAATTTTGCTCAAGTGAATTCCACATGGATCTCGCGTGAAATTCATCTCAAACGAACTTATACATGAAACTCACATGAAAATGTTCATGTGAATTTCACGTTCATATGAATGTCACGTGAATTTTGTTTTTGATTTTAATTAAATCTGAAAATTTAAATGTTCTTTGCATAACTTTATTTTCAAAATTCACAAGGGACTGATTTCATGTGAGTTTCACGTATAAGCTCGTTTGAGGTGAACTTTACGTGAATTTAACATGAGATTCCAGTGGCGTATCCAGAACTTTTTATAAGGGGCCCACTAACTGACCTAAGGGGGGCCGCTCCAGTCATGCTTCAGTGATTCCCTATATAATCAACCAAATATTTCGCACAAAAGGGGGACCGGGGCCCCCAGGGCCACCCCTGGATCCGCTTATGGATTCACGCGAGAGAAATGTCTTTGTGTACCACAATTTAAATGAGAATGTTTTTCATTTGCGACCTCATTACTACAACATCTTTGTCATACTATAGTTTGTCGAGGAATATTATTTAACTTTCTCTTTCTAAAGTAAAATATAAATATTGAGCAGATATGCGAAATCTGATTAGACTCTGTCGGTCCTCTTCAATCTTTTTAACATGACAGCTGTTATGTTCAGTGGCGGATCCAGAGGGGGGCGTAGAGGGCGTACGCCCCCCCTTTGCCTGCACTTTTTTTTTTTTTTTTTGTAAAATGATTAATCAGACTAGACTTCGCGAACTTTGCCATTTCCAGTGTATTTAATTTTTATGCGACAATTCTTTACTTATAAAGATATTTTTCGCTCATATTTACTGTAATATATTATTGATTATGTCAAAGTCATGTGATTCGCTACGGTGGAGTTGACCAGTACGTCGAAAAAAACGTCACTCAGTCATTTTGAAATTCAAATTACAGTAACACATTGCTTAGGCTGAGGATGACAAGCATGACGCCTTCAAAGCGACAAAGAATCGAGCAAGAACGTATTGACTTCTATTTCACAATTCCACCCAACAGAAAGTAATACTCTATTACACTCTCATGAAAAAAAAAAATTTCCACAGCAATATTATTTACCTACGAAAACATGTTTAACCCCACACGTCCCAGCCCATTAATAATATTGCTGAATAGTGATCCCCAGTCAGTAAGCTCTAGATATAGATTTAAAGTCTAAGGTACGGACCATTTGATTTGAGGGGGCAGTCTGAGATATTTTAGAGAAAAAATTCTGATCCTGGTTTTTGCCTTAAACAAAAATACTGGCCGTATCTGGATTGAAAACAATAATCTTGTCCACTTTTTTGCAATTAGAAAAAAATATTTTCAACAAAATTATTTACCATCAAATGAACATGATGAATAAAAAACGGGCGTAATTTATTTTTGGGGGGTTGCATGTGAATCCCATATCTGACCGGAATGTCTGTTTCGCCGAACTGATATACTGAATACTTTTTTCAAGGCCCGACTGCAACCTGCCTGCTGGGTGTGGCCTATATGTCTCCATGTGTCGACCGTCATTCACAACTTCATTGTCATTTCCGACTCATTCGTAGCCTTTGGTTGATTTGGAACCCCTCACTTCCCTTGTTGGTTGAAACATTTCAACCAAACATTTGGATACAAAATTGCTTGTTTGTCTTTCTTCGTGTCGGTCGTATTGTAAATTTCATTGAATAGCCGTATATCTTGTTTACAACAAGAAATCTGTGAGGTTATGCTAACTAACCATACAACAAACGAGAATTTTTCATGTCCATTTTTTACTGACAAATCCCACATCAAATATATTAATTAGTACATAGCTTTGGATCCATCCAATCATTTTATAATAGACAATTAATGGAAAGAATACGGCACCAAAAATGTCCAACCCCTACACTTTAACTATAAAATGCATTTTACACTTATTTTATGTTTTTTAGCCAAAAAAAGGTCCAAAAAATTTTTCGCCTCGCTCCGCTCGGCAAAACTATATACTACGCCCCCCTTTCCAAAAGCCTAGATCCGCCCCTGAATGTTCTTCAAAAATGTGTACTCTAAATTGAAACGTCGATTGTTCCTCTTCCCAAATCAAATATTAGCACATTTTTCTCGCCTGATAAATTCTTGTCAAGACCGTAAGCTAAAGCAGCAGCTGTTGGCTCGTTTATTAGTCGCAGTACATTAAGTCCTGCAATAAAGCCAGCATCCTTTGTGGCTAGTCTTTGAGAATCATTAAAGTATACAGGTACTGTGATGACGGCATCCGTAACTTTCTTTCCGAGATAAGCTTCCGCAGTTTCTTTCATTTAACCAATACCATTGAACTTATTTCCTCTGGGGTAAATATTTTTGTTTCTCCTTTGGGTTCCGCTTGTAGTTTTGGCTTTCCTCCACTATAAATGACTTTGAATGGCCAATGTTTCATTTCTGACTGAACTGAGGAATCACAAAAATTTCTGCCGATCAGTCTCTTGTCATCGAAAATTGTATTTGTAGCGTTTAGTGCGAATTGATTTTTAGCTGCATCCCCAAACAGTCTTTCAGTATTCGTGAAAGCCACATAGCTTGGATTTGTTCTGTTTCCCTGGTCGTTGGCAATGATGTCTACTTTTCAATGCTATAGAACACCAACACAACAGTAAGTTGTGCCAAGATCAATTCCAATTGCTGGACCTTTTCCTGCCACAATGATATCAAATTATTTCACTTTTTTCTACGATAAATAATCTGTAAAGATAATAGTTATTTCTTTTATATATATAAGTATAACTGAGTTCTAACCAACTTTTACTTGGAACGTGAAACTGCGAAATACATAAACTTGTATAAAAAAAATAGTTAGAATTTCCTCATATAACCAGTGAATGGTCATTGAATTTTGTTTTATCATCATCATGTTAACATAATTTGTAGCTTATTATGAAAAATTAGGAACAAATTTAATTAACACATTATTTATGAACCATATTTATTGTTCCTCAGTGACTTCACAGAGGATCTGTTAGTCTCAGCCACTAGTACAGAAAACTCCAAATTTTTAGACAAAAAGGCCTTAAGGAAAACATTTCTGATAGTCAATACCATACTTTAACTTGATGATCTCATTTAGTTTATCAATATTGATACAGCAAAAATATTATTATTTTTATTAAGTGTACATTAAAGTAACGTACCTATCAATTTTTAATTTGTTAAAAGAAATGAATCACTTACCTGTAAATATCAATGTATGATTTTTCTTT